TTGATATTAGATTTGATAATTACACACATTCTAAATCAGTCTGTGGGGGGAGGAGTATAGGACATAGTTTTCGGGCCAATTTATGGACACGCAAATATTTAATTGCACAAGTTATAAATAATTTGTATAACCTGTCCAAATCTGATAAAAAATACAAAACTGCGGACGTTTCGTGTTTTATCTGGAGGTCAGGCCTATTACACTTGCCATCCATGATCTGGCGAGATTCTTTTATAGATTATGTTCTGGACACATATATGAATTTGAAGGCTCAAGTTTTGACGATGAGCTGTGAACTCTATCACTGATGAGTTTAGCAAAAAACAATCCACGTTTCTGAGACTAAGATAGGCCTGCGATTTGTCAAAAAGGCGAATCTGGCACTTTAATTAGATTGGAACTAATTTTTACTAGACATGAAAAAGGCTTTATAAAAGGCCTACCAATATCTAAATCAACAGGCTTCATTACGGGGCCAAACGTGGGTGTCTCGAAAATCACAAAATTAAACAAAAAAATTATAGAATATTTGCTAATCATTACAAAGAGGTGGAAATTTAAGACGCAAATCATGTACATCATTGCAAATACATGTATCCTTCTTCTTCTTGGAAATTCACTCATTAAGGTGGCCTACTTTTCTTTATACGTACTGCGAAAACGATTGGTCCACGCTTATACCTTTCATTTCTAAGAAATTGGGCTTATCACAGTCAAATTCTCAAAGGATTAACTTTGTGGTTAACCGCAAATACTCAGGTCTGGCGCACTTATAGTGATCTTCGTTTTGTTTTCAATTTTCGCCTTGCGTTATCATATTTTTAAATCTATAGTGAATGACCTTTTAACGGGCGTCTTCCTGGATTTTTGACCATAATTTTGTGAAAAGTTATCTTGACAAAGCTTTAAGCAAATAAAAGAATATTTTTTTATAGGCTCTATCCTACTTGACTTTATAATGTATTCTGGAAAGAATCAAAAGTTCAATCAGTGAAGATATTTACCATCAAATATAGGCTACGGATAACAGCCTTGAATTGAACAAACACTTTTCATCAATTGTGATAAGAGACACAAACATCGAAATTGAAAGTCAGATTTTAATTCTGAAAATTTCTACAAAATTAAACACTTTCAGCTTATAAGCATTATCATACCTTAGTCTAAAAAACGAGAATTTTTTTTTAAGCTAAGCCAATCAGCTATAGTGTTCACAACTCACCGTTATAATTTAAACCTTCAAATAAATCCATGTGTGTCCAAAATTATCCGCGTTTGAAAGTTAAAATGACGACTCGTTATTTCTTGAGACACTGGCATACAGAAAGATATCTATTAAAATAGAAATTACTAGTTTGAAATATTTTTGAAGGAATTGTGCCATGTTCGTAATAGAATTTCGAATTTTCTGGTACTTCTACAGACTACTCTTAAGACTTAATCAACCCCCCCCCCCCCCCCCCTCCCCAAATGGCGAAGCTGTCCCTTTAAGAACATAAAAATAAGGTCTAAAAGTTAGTAATGGAATACATAGATGTTTCAAATAAATTTATTCATAGTGCTTTTTCTGTATAATCTAATATATAATATACAAATTAATGATCTACATTTCACCATTTAGGATTTATGATACACGTATATTTACAAAATAAAATTAACAATTAATTATACATACATAAACTAAATAAATATAACTCGACTTTGTATAACATAACATACAAAACACAACAAAATATTCAGAATGAAAACTCAATAAAACTATATTTCTAATTCTCTGATGAGTTGACTTATGTATATACGATTCTGTTGATATCACTAAGATTCGAAGAGGTTTTTCTAATCTCATGCTATGTAGGCTATCAGGAGTGGGGTTAGATCGTCTGGCAATTCAAATCTTATAGAGGATTATATAAAATGCTCGGTTACTAACAGCTGAGATAAACTGAGTGGTCTCGGATTCCGACTGCTTCGGTCGACCGCGAGGTTCAAATTTTTATAGAATATAGAACACGACAGCGATTGAGGTGTGATTTTTCAGTTGTATGGAAACACCAAAGTCGACATGATTAATCGATTGATAACATTTTCCCCGATGGTGTCAGTCGATTTGAAAATCAAATTGCCCTTAGGATCCACTAGTCGCAAGGTCGATCTGGGAGCAACCTTGGTACTTTCTACTTGTACCACGCCGTTATCGGGCTTTAATAGTATACCGAGGGAATACTGTACAGTAATAGACCCATATACATCTATATCCGACAGGACACAGCAATGGCGCATATAGTTCCCGATACACATACAAAAGCTAGAAAACCTCTTTTGAATTTCTCGGAAACCCAAAAAAGGTATTGTCAATATTTGAATTAAAATGTTATTTGATATATTACAATGGTATAGTGGTGTACCTTTACTCTATTAAGAACTTAAAGTGGTGTATGTGTGCTTAAAAACTATACTTAAATCTTACAGGTAAAATAGGTCATTTCTATATTTAGAAAGGTACTTTCCAGGTAAAGGTGTCTGCGACGAGTCGGTTCAAAGTGCAATATCCTTGTACAGCCTTTTCTAAGAAATATGTTAATGTAGTTTATTTTTTTTTATCCAGGATAAAAGTTTTCCGAGAAAAACCTTTAGTTCCGAAATTCCAACTCCGCAATTACATTATTTTTATAACAATTTAGAAAAAAAAACTTTCTCTTTCTATGGCTTTTGTCCTGCACTATTGATATTTTTGTTGTAATCCTTGTACACCTCGATGCACATGAGATGATGCACATGAGATGATGCACCATGAGATTAGTTATCGGGACAAGAAGGGAAATTTTATTTTGCCACAGGCCTTTTTGATTTCTTCAGGATTTTTAACTAAAAACATTATTTAGGATCTAGTACACCCATATCCTTATCAAACACGTTTAAGATATATAATCCTTATCAGGACAATTTTGTTTGAAATATGGGTTTTTCCATAGTAGTAAATATCATATTTTAGAAATCTTTTATGTTTTAATAATAAAAAACCTGCATACTTTCCCTAAAATTTCAGTTTTTGTGACAAAATTAACTTGTGACAACTGTGCTGTAAACTATATCTATTGGGGAAAGTGAAAGTACAGTGAAAATCGAAGTCATGAGTGGCACTCGTTTTTAGCTGCTCTTAGACAAAGTTCTAATTCAAACAGAAATAATGATTGAAATTATTTTTATACATAACTAGATGTAGTTATATTATGCCCTAAAAATATGTATAATTCCATCACTACTTCAGTACTTATGTTTAGGTATGCTCTTGTTTTTGAAACTGTTGCTCTGCAGTTTCTGGGAATCTGTAATGTTCCTGCACCATTTGGGCTAATAATGTCAGTTCAGCTGATGGATTTGCATCAGAATCTTCATCCGCCCGAGATCCTTTCTTTTTGCCTTTCTTAACAGCTTTTCCAGTTAGTGTATGCGGACTTGCAGAATCACTGCTACCTGAGGATAAATCACTCAATGTCCGAATTTTGGTCTCATCTGCTGGAGGCAATAATTTTGGAGAGAGAACTGAACCACTAACTGCTTCTGAATTTGTTTCATTCTGTGGAAGAAGTGATAAGGTAGGTGCATCTGCAGGTCTTAATGTTTTAGGTGATTGACTGAGAAGACTTCTTGAGCCTCTATGATGTTCTGGACTATCATCTGCAGCTGTTTCTGATCTAGATTTGGCAGCCGACATTGGAATGGGACTACTTTGACTATGTGGTCTGTTGATAATCAGACTTGTTTGAGCTTTCTTTTTGGATTTTGGACTCTGTGACACATCATATACTACAGGATCTGAGTCACTTTTATTGCGTCTTGGACTGTGAGAGTGACTTCTGTTATACTGTTTATGAATATTTGTTTGCAATCTCATTGATGGTCTCTCTAAAGAACCACTTCGATGCTTTGTTTTCACTGATAAGTCTTCCATTGGTATTTCCTGCAAGTCTGGTTTCACATTAGATGAAACTTTAGGACTATTTCTGCTGCTACTGCTACCTTTAACCGGGGTGGAAGTCTTAAAGTTATGATGGTTTAAATTTTGTACAGCGAAAGATGCAGATGTGGCTTCTTGAGCTAGTTCTACAGACTCATCTGTTGAAGATTGATCTTGTTGTGGCTTAGCAGCATGCTGGCTAGTTTTGGATTCTTTCTTACGAACATCTAGATTTGGTTGTGATTTAGTTGATGAAATGGATTTTTGGTCCAATCTTGCAGCATTTGGTTCACTAGCAACTCTTACAGGATGGCTTCGTCCTGAAATACCGAAGTTTAAACTGATATTTCTTAATTCTTCAAAAATAAAAAAACTTTCATGGATTTTAAGGGATTCAAAACAGGTCTAGTCTTAGTTGAGTTGTACCCAAAATCATAATAGTGCTTTTCACTCGAAATTTCAAAAACCTTTGGTAAAGGATAGATTATTATGCATAAGAAATACCAAAACAACCAGCATTAGCAAACTCTTTTACCTGGTATAGGACCACCTCTGGTGTATGGACCATTACCATCTGTTTGAGAAGATATATCTAGTAGTCGTTCAATGGTGGCCATTTTTTGTTGTCGAGCTCTTAATCTGCCTTTGATCAATCGTTGTTTGGCAGCCATACATCGTATATGATCATCAAAAATAAATCGACCAGCAAGCAGTGAGAGTGATCTAGAGTGTTGAGTGGAGGATGGTTTATGGACCACAATATGTAAAGATCTGCTGTCATCTTTATCCCCTGTCACTTCAATATCCTGAAATTTTACGAAGATGATGATATGAAATCAATCTTATTAGATTAAGTTACAATTTTATTTCTTTTTGATACTGTTCGTCTCCATAGTAATCTAAGAAAGTTTTCTGCCAAAGTCCAGTTCTAATGGACTATGTTATCTTTAACCAATCTGATAATATTTGATGAGAATGTTTGAATGAGGATATAACAGCTTCATGTACTTCCTTTGACAGTTGGAAATTTAAAAGAATAGGATATTACCACTTTCCTGGTTAAATTCTTGTTAGGTAGGCCCAGAAAAGCAGGATATAAACTATCATTTCATTAGACACTAGGTATATTACCCCGACCGAGATATTCTAAGCTCTGTAAATTGTTAGGCTCATTTTCCTCGAATGATTTAAATAATAAGTTCACTCTTTGATAGCAATAATGTTTATATAAGTTACCTGTAAAAATCCCACAAATCTAACCACACCCCAACCTAATCTTTTGGTATCTGGTTCAACTAATATTAACTGTACAGGATCTATAACTAGAAACCTCCTTTCTTGTCTACGACTGAAATAATATTTACTTAGATGTAGGTGTAGTGCTATAATACAATGAAATATGTAAGGGAAATGAGATTTATTATCTGATAGAGCTCAATTCCAGCTGTCACTTTTCAGAATTCATATCTGATGTCCTGTTTGTCAGCAATTCAAAGAAAAGTTTATCCTTTATCCATTATTAAATTTTGTTTGCTTTAAAGTGCTTGATAAAATACATCAAAATATTCATGTATATTAATCAGGCCGAGCAGAGCATTAACCTAAAGGCATACAGTCACCTAAATATTGTCACATATACTGCATGTTTAAAGATGAGTTCCCTTTTTTTTTTTATTTATGAAAATGCTAATAATTATATGAATAGAAAGTAGAGGTGTTCTAATGACTAAGAAAATACCAGTTTAAAGGTATATAATAGACTTTCTCTAATTCTCTAAAAAAATAAATCAACAGCCCTGGTGAATACTAAGAAGACTGTATCCCTTAAGTTACCATTGTTTTTTTACTAAAAAAAGATGTCTAATTTATTTCATTAATGAAATTATAAACCCATCAACCATGTACTGATCAGATAGTTTAAAATTTCAAAAAACAACTGATCAGATAGTTTAACATTTAAAAAAAACAACTGATCAGATAGTTTAAAATCTTAAAAAACAACAGATCAGATAGTTTAAAATTTCAAAAAACAACAGATCAAATAGTTTAACATTTTAAAACAACAACTGATCACATAGTTTAACATTTTAAAAAAAACAACTGATCAGATAGTTTAATATCTTAAAAAACAACTGATCAGATAGTTTACCATTTTAAAAAAACAACTGATCAGATAGTTTAACATTTTAAAAAAACAACTGATCAGATATTTTAATATTATAAAAAACAACTGATCAGATAGTTTAACATTTTAAAAAACAACTGATCAGATAGTTTAACATTTTAAAAAAACAACTGATCAGATAGTTTAATATCTTAAAAAAACAACTCCTCAGATAGTTTAACATTTTAAAAAACAACTGATCGGTTAGTTTAACATTTTAAAAAAACAACTGATCAGATAGTTTAACATTTTAAAAAACAACTGATCAGATAGTTTTAGCTTAAAAAAACAACTCCTCAGATAGTTTAACATTTTAAAAAAACAACTGATCAGTTAGTTTAACATTTTAAAAAAACAACTGATCAGATAGTTTAATATCTTAAAAAACAACTCCTCAGATAGTTTAACATTTTAAAAAACAACTGATCAGTTAGTTTAACATTTTAAAAAAACAACTGATCAGATAGTTTAATATCTTAAAAAACAACTCCTCAGATAGTTTAACATTTTAAAAAACAACTGATCGGTTAGTTTAACATTTTAAAAAACAACTGATTGGTTAGTTTAACATTTTGATAAACACCAATTTCTAAGATAAATTGAAACTCAATTCAAAATAATATTGAATATCAATAAAAGGACAAGGAAGTTGTTTTTAAAGGTACATAGTCCTGTTATTTTTCTCTTTAAAAGTCAATAGCAGCATCAGCCACTTGTAACACTTTCCAGAATTAAATCTTACACTTAGAGTTTGTCTGCAATCTAATGCATTTTCAGGAAGACAGTTATAAAGACTGAATGGGATATTCATTCTGAAAAGTGCCACAGTTAGGCGCTACAAAGGTGATTATCCATTTGAAAAATGTATCTGAGGACCTACCTATCTTTCAGCAAAACTGTACATGCAATCAAATCACTGTTATCTGAAAAATAAATCAATTTTATCATTGTCTGACCTACATATTCTTTAGGTCTAATTAATACCTCCATGCATCAAGTGATGCAGGTCCGAGGGGCTGTCATGGAAAAAGTGTCAAGTCGTTTGGATGGTACAAAACCAAGTCCTTGTGTTTAAGAGGCAGAGCTCCCTCAACAGTTGGAAATTGAAAAAGATTAGGCTAATGACGCTGTCCTTCCAAAATTTCCCCCACTGCACACTGCATGGTGTTACCCTTCTTTATGAGCATCCTGTTGGGCTAATTGAGAGGCAAAATACCATGCAGTGTGCAATGATGAAATTTTGACAGGACCTCAGCATCAGGTCTACTTAAAAACTTTTCCATATCTGCCACTCTGTCCCTGCAGTAACTAAAGTTAAAACCCATGATGAAATCATCCTTTAAATTCTTATCTTTAGATAGATAGATATGTTAATACATATCTGTGAACACTACACTGATTAGGTTAGCTAAAAAAAAAATCGTTTCTGAGACTCTTTTACAATTGGTCAAACAGATGGCCAAGGTGTCCCTTTAAAAAAAAAGTTTGAGACTGATGGGATTATGTTTACCACCCCCTATACTTTTTTATTATGTCAGATCTATTACATTAATACTATCATGTTTTCAATTTATAAGTTGAAGCTTAAATATAGCCCTTATGAAATTTTGGGGATTCCCCTATTTTCTTGTTAGGAAGTTTCATGTTATAAAAGGAAACAATTTATTATCATTATATATTATATTCATGTTGTTTGACTGATCATTATGCTTAATGCACTGGACTTAACTTCTAAGTTCCTCCCTCTAGGATATTTATTATAATCATTCATCATTCTGCTTAATTAATTAATTAATTTCCTTGTCTTATTTTTTTGAGTTGAAAAGGATTTTTAGTCAATTTTCATTTCTCAAAACCTCTGTTAAAGGTGTACTACCCCTGAACATGGTCATAAAATTTAAAGTCTTAAACTTGGTCAATAAGAGTATATATTTATCCTTTTGACTTACAAGGTGCCATGACTAAAGAATAGAATGATATATCCATTAAAAGAAGTAATTATTGAAACACGCTTCAAAGCATGTTTAGATTAATATATCATCAGAATGTCAAGCTATTAGGAACGGCAATAGCCACCTTTCATGTTTCACGGAAAATTATAAATGCAACCATTTGTGTGGTTTGTTTTCTAGCATATGCAGCCAATCATAACAATCAACAGTTCTAAAGAGAATAGACCAACAATTTGGCTGCGCATGAGGTCATGACTGGCTATATCTCTGGCACACAATCCAATCAAATCACTTCATTAACAAACTTCAGTAATGCACGAAAGGTGGCTATGGCATTCAAGGTATAAGACACATTTCCTAATAGAATGACATAGAAAAGCTGGTATTACCCACGAGTTGTACTTACTGAGATCTAAGACATCATTAATTTTCACACAATTTTCATCTTTGGTCAATGGTAGATGAATATCTATCTCATTTAACAACGTAAGTGATAAATCACGAATCAGAAAAAATACTCGTATAGCCTGAAATTAGAATACACAATATTTACAGTATGCATATCATAACAATATAAATAGTTCAAAAAAATCTTTCACCCTACTGCCCTACTTTAATTTTTAGTTTATTTTTTTGTGCATGTCTGTGAAAAGTGTGATGTTAGCTGTTTTGACCTCCTAGCACACTTTTGCACTGAACCTAAGTTCTTTTGTGAAAATTCTATTTCTTTCACAAGGATCTCTGGTCTCCATATATTTTGGTTGAAAAATGCATATTTTATTTAATTGCTAAATGAATGAGGGTAGAAGATTGCTTTCATCAAACTTTTCTTGGTGTATTTTTGTTTAATTACAGGATCAGATGCGGCACCAGATACCAATCGGGGCATGTACTTTTCTAGAAAAATGGTATGATACGCTTTAGCTCCAAAATATTTGTCAGAATGTACCAAATCAATTCTATTTTCAAAAATTTTCTCCAACCCTCTCAGAGGCTTGATATATTTATGCACTTCCGCAGTTTAGCCAATTTTGAATCTCAACCCAGACAGTTGTCCCCTTCATTTACGTCAGTCTGCCCCAGTCTTGGAAGGCTGGCACCACCATTGTGCAGGATGCCAGATATCAATCTGGAAAGTAATACAGATTGCTGAAACGATATTAGCTGGATAGAGAAAATATTAAAATAGCTATATCACTTTAATAGTTGTTTAACTGTCAAAGTGAAAGTAGATGACATTTTAACATATCAATCAACTTCAATACCAAATGAATTTCTATGAAAATCACAATGGTTTACTTCTTAGAAATCTGTTTTATAATATCAATCGAATTAAGAAATTTATCTTTGTAAATTGACTTTTCAAACAAAACATCTAATTTAATGTTGCATGTTATATAACATAAATTTAAGATTTAATTTTTTGTGAGTATCAGGGCATTAATGATTTTTATTTCCATCATTCAAATGATCAGTCAGATGTTTGTCATTCCTTTCAAAATGCTTCAAAATATATATGACGTCAATATTGAAAAAGCTAATAGTGAAATCTGAGGGCCTTAGCCATAGCTCATTCAGTAGGATTGCAAGAACCACAGACGTTTGACTGAAAATTGAAATGGTGCAAATCCTAGTTATCAGTGTCCAATATACACATAAAAAGTTTAGAAAACCAATTTACAATCTCTTTAATGCAACATGTATTAAAAATTTACAAAAAAAGATCAAACTCAGTTGTATTCTAATTCATGTTAAAATTGTCATTCACCTTGGGGAAATTGTGTTAGTTGCAATTGCTCTTTTTTGAAATTTCAACTATCAAGAAATCTTTGAGAACCATTGGTATATGATATAATGATATCTTAATCAAAAAAAGAACCCTGTTAAAGGGACAAGTAGGCAATTTTTTTTACCAATCATATTTTAGTCTAAGAAACTGGAATATTTTAGTTGAGCTAATCATTAATAGTGTTCACAGTTCACTGTCGAAATTTGAGCCTTCAAATCTATGTGTGTCGATAATCATCTGTGTTTGACTGTTAAAATGATTTATGATACTCTGTGATATATGGCAAGATATATATAAAAATAGTGAGTAAAATTCCTAGTTGGAAGTATTTACAAGGGAATTATACAATTTTCCTACATTTCTAGTACTTCTGAAGACTATTTACATATATTCAAAACTAAAATCAACTCCCCAAAATGCCACACCTATCCCTTCAAGGTTTGCACGAACACAATTTTGAGTTTAAGTAAGTTCATTCAGACTAGACTCGTAGAAACTTGCCTGACTAAATATAGAATTGTTGCTGACTTAACAGTAGGCATAATTTGGTTCCAAAAATGAAAGTAAAAGTATATGAAAAATAAAACTGAAAGTAGATTTCTACTGAATTTAAGGAAAAGTTTACCTTGTCAAGGATGCTTATAAATACTTCTAAAGGTCATGAAGTAAATATGTTATTTATTTTGAAGGGCAATAAGGTACAATTTACCCTTGATGCTTCCATCAAGTACATCAACCAAATAATAGGACACAGGAGACATGGATCAAAAACTAATAAAAGGATTTAATTATCTTAAATAGTTATATGAATAAATAAACCAAGTAGTGTACTAATCATTCGAACTGCAACATGATACCCAAAATCCAGAACAACATATTGGCAAAACATTGGTTGCAGGTAATGAACTTTTAACATTAGGAGGTATATCAATCAATCAAGATGACACACAGTGTATTATCAGTACAAGGTACACGAGTTATGAATGACGAAAGTTTCTGCAAGATTAGAGAATTCTAAGAAGTGATATGGGCAGATGACAATAATTTCAATCCTAATTCCATTAATCCTACTCTTTTTCCATTAAAAAATAGAAAAAAAAACAAATTTAAGATCATTAGCTATCAGAAAAATTAATCTTTTCTCAATATTCAACTTGACCTGACTACAAAACAAGACAAGGAACAGCTGGTAGTGGTTGTTTCCTTCCAGAAGTAAATATTACTGTAGTTTCATCCTAAAATTAGATTAGTGCCATGTCAAATCATCTTAAAATTGACAACAGATAATGAACACTCAATGAAGAAAATGTTTAAATACAGATCTGATCATTTAAATATTGGATCCTTCAGCCATCATATAACCCAGACAGTCCTCTCTCCCCCCTCCCCTCCCTTGTAAAATGGATTACCACCCCTTGCATCACCCCCGCCCCCTGAAAAAATTCTGCCAATCGACACATTATTGCAACTTAACTTAACTCTAAAATTTATTATAATTAAATCTGCAGCAACCATATATGATAACAGTGTATGTTTTTTCGCACCAAAATTCAGTTTTGTCACGTCCTCCTCGGCAAACAGGTTTACTAAAATAACCTTTTCCTTTATCTAAAGTTATATAAGAGTTGAAATTTGTAAAGGTTTGTACTAGGAAATATATCACTAAGAAAATTTAAAAAATTGAAATATCAAAAAATATATTAAGTGATGTTGCACATGAAATATCCTATTATGAAGTCTTTATAAGCAACCTAAATGAAATGAAACTTTTCCAATTAAATATTAAATAAAAGTATTTAAAAAATTTCCATTCCCTTGGGTAATATTTAAACATTTTGATGGAAAATTCTATAATTTCCACACCAAAAATATGTCCACATCAAGTAGGCCCACACTCTGTCACACTTTCTCATAAGAATTTTCAACCAAGTTGAAAAAAATTATTGATTACTAAAAACTAAAGATCCCGTTTCTAAAAAACTCTTTGATGTAATCATCAAAGTGTACAAGAGAAAAATCACACTTATGACAAAATTCAATTGCAAGATATTTTGGCAAACGATGAACTGAAACGCTAGCCTGGATCTGAAACTGCTTCCTTTGAAAAAACTTTAAGACATTACTGAACATAATATCTTAGACCTTTTAAGTAGAGAGTCTGGTCCAAAATATATTTTTCTTACTTTCTGAAAGAAATGGATACAATTTGGCAATCATGAATCATAGACAGATGTTTTCATAAATTAATCTGGACCCCTGTTGCCATTGTAATGAGGTGATATCCTAAGAATTCTGTAATAATTTTCTAGACACTATGCTAAAGAACTGGATGGGTTCTTGCACTTGAAAATGGTTTATTTTGCTTGCTAAAGAAAGCATTTATGGAACTACATTACTAAAATGTAGAAGAAAACTGTTGTTGTCCATGCAACAATTATTGTTTCAATTTAAATGACTATAATATTCATAATTGTGAATCAAAAATCAAAGAATTTCATTCGGTATGAAACATTATGGAGAATACAAATTTCAATTTTCAATCTTGAATGGTTTTTCAATGACAATTTCTAGAAATTTTGATAACAATTGTTCTTTTGAGATAACAAGCTTAAAAGATATACAACATTGTTTTTTTGATAGTACTAAGACCATGGCTGAATCTATCAATATCTTGATGTACGTGGGGGTGAATAGCTTTATACTGATAATAAATCCTGATTGTCTTGTGGTTAATTTATAACAGACCTCTTCTTCATATAACAGGTATAATATATATATACACAATATTCACAGTTGATATGATCGCTCTTACTACATCTTTCTCTCTGTTGACTAAAGGTAGGTAGGTAGATGACAAGTTAACGTTTGCTTCCAGCGTTGACTAAATATGTCTTGGGTCTTATATAGTCATGTTCCATAGGGATTATACCCAAGGTGATGGTAGGTAATCAAATTACCACTACTTATAATTAAGAACTAAGACTACTGAATGTCTGAATATACTTAATTAAATAGTTAATCCTCTATCTCTCTGTCTACTAATCTTTTGTGACTATATTATAGAGTGATTAAAGCTAGTTATCATAATGATATAAAGATGTAAAGATGTAAGAATTAACATATAAAATAGACACTCTAGCTAAAAGGTTATAGCATGAGCCAAGCAATAATACTACATATGATTTTGCTTGGTGATAGTACCTGTCCACTGTAAAACACTCTTATTGCAATAATGATTTTGGGTATTTTATTTTGTTTTAACCAAACTGGAGTGTCTTTAATTTTAGAAAATGTCAAAATTACAAAATGAATTTTTTGACTGAAATTCTTTATTTTGAACCAGCTTTTCCCCTTAAAGACTAATCTATCTTGACTACTGTTACATTATCCTGCTGAGACCTGAATACATCATTATCTTCATTTTTTATGTCTCATAATCATATCAATATATAATTTATCATCCTAAAGATGGGTTCCCTTATTTTTTAGTGTCAAATTAAGCATTGAACTATTTGATTAATTGGTATTTCTAATGAATTATCATGTACCGGTATTCTTAATCATTTCATTATGTTCTTATTGCATATAACCAATCATAAATGTCCATGAAAGTACAGTCTGGATAAACTAAAAAAGACTTTTAAACCTTTCTTGATTGGTCACTCTTTGGAATTCTGCTGGTAATTCTCTTCTAATTTAGCTAATTATGAATTAATTATGGACATGTGAGACAAACTG